TTAAGGTCAATTACTCAATTAGTGAGTCTCATAGTTTGGAAGGGCCTTGAACTATGCATCCCAAATATCAGTCCCATACTGTAAAAATAGAACACGACAAACACAAGAATAAACATATGCAAAAGTGACATGAGCTGGAAACAAATGCAATTGCCCAAATCCATATCTTTCAGCAGTCTTTAGAAAGGACACCCCAAATGTTGTACCATTTCTTTAGCTGCCTTAAAAAAATCTCCTTCCAATTTTCTTTGTTCTCATCTTCAATTGCTGCAAACTGTGTTAAAAAGAGATTGCACACAACTTAGCAGAACAGAGAGGACAGGAAGGTATTGAATCTTGCCTCTTCCAGAAAAGCCCAAGTAAAAGCAAACTGCTGCAATGTTTCCTTCTTGTGAATTCTTCCTCATTAATAACTTTTGCCATTTTTTGACCTCATCACATTGATGAGGTCATGCAGGGCATTTTGCCAGCCTCTGTGGTGAATTGGTGGGGCAGCTGTGCCATCCCAGCACCCTATGCCCCACCTCACCTGGACTGCTGCTTCCTCACCATGTTAAGAAGCATCGCCATGCAACCCCCCCCCCCCAATGCTGGCCCCATTGTTCCCAACAGAACACGGAAACCACGTTCTGGATGCAGTGGTATAAGATGCTTGCACTCTAGTACATTGACGGAGCCCCACCGGAAGTCAGAGGTGGGGCGTGTGATGGGTGGTGTTGGGCTCTATGGATCAACTGGGGCACAAGCATCCTACATTTGCAGCCCCTCAAGTGATGTAGTCCTTTGACCACAATATGATATTGCTTGATTACATGTGTCACAGTTTTCATCTGTGCAATGCTAGAAGGTATGCAAATCTTGGCCTGTGAGGGGTTTTATTGGGTAGGAGTTGAGGAAGACAGCATCATCCTCCTCTAGTATCTCAAACTAAAAAACTGTGGGTTCAACTGGTATGGCAGTTGAAGTGGGAACATAATGCATTAGTTATTTACAGCATTTTTACCCCACCCTTCTCAGCCTCTGTATCCATGGAACCTCTGTATCCATGGAGTGATACTTTCCTGGACTTCATGTGTATACGCAAAATTGCAAATAATAGCAAACTCTATTGAAATGAATGACTTCTGGCCAAGAATGCCATAGCAGTCCTCTTGAGGACCTAGAAAATGCCTACAATTAACATATTTTGTTGAACATGGACAAATGAAACCACGGATATCTGCTCTACAAATACGGGGTTTGCACTGTACTGTGCAAACTGTACTGTACTGTACTGTACTGTACACCGCTAAAGCGGTGCTTGGATACAACCCAAAAAATGACAGAATGATCTCAATTCGAGTGCAAGGAAAGCCTTTCAACATTACAGTGATCCAAATATACGCCCCAACCGCAGCTGCTGAAGAAGCAGAAGTAGATCAGTTCTATGAGGATCTGCAGGACCTACTGGATAATACACCAAAAAGAGACATTATTTTCATTACAGGAGACTGGAATGCCAAGGTGGGAAGTCAAATGACAACTGGGATCACAGGCTAGCATGGTCTGGGAGAACAAAATGAAGCGGGACACAGGCTGATAGAATTTTGCCAGGAAAACTCACTGTGTATAATGAATACTCTCTTCCAACAATCCAAAAGACGGCTTTATACATGGGCTTCACCAGATGATCAACACCGAAATCATATTGACTACATCTTTTGCATCCAAAGGTGGCGGACATCAGTCCAGTCAGTGAAAACAAGACCTGGAGCTGGCTGTAGTTCAGATCACAAACTTCTTATTACACAATTTAGAATCAAACTAAAGAGATTTAGGGAAAATACACAGACCAGTTAGATATGATCTCACTAACATTCCTAGCGAATATACAGTGGAAGTGAAGAACAGATTTGAAGGACTAGATTTAGTAAACAGAGTCCCAGAAGAACTATGGACAGAAGTCGGAGACATTGTTCAGGAGGCAGCAACAAAGTACGTCCCAAAGAAAAAGAAAACCAAGAAGGCAAAATGGTTGTCTGCTGAGACACTGGAAGTAGCCCAAGAAAGGAGGAAAGCAAAAGGAAACAGGGATAAGGGGAGATATGCCCAATTAAATGCACAATTCCAGAGGTTAGCCAGAAGAGATAAGGAACTATTTTTAAATAAGCAATGCATGGAAGTGGAAGAAGACAACAGAATAGGAAGGACAAGAGACCTCTTTCAGAAAATTAGAAACATTGGAGGTAAATTTCAGGCAAAAATTGGTATGATAAGAAACAAAGATGGCAGGGACCTAACAGAAGCTGAAGAGATCAAGAGAAGGTGGCGAGACTATACAGAAGATCTGTATAGGAAGGATAATAATATTGAGGATAGTTTTGACGGTGTGGTGAATGAATTAGAACCAGACATCCTTAGAAAAATATCTTTGCTTTTAAATAAAAGTTTCCATTCAATGTTCAAATCAGGCTTTGCTTTTTATTAATATCAGACAGCTGAAATTTGCTATATTATCCAGGGAAATTTGAAATACTTCAGGGAATTTGCTGAGTAGTTAAACTAAAGTTTCCTACCATCATAGAAAAAAGAAACCATTTCTAGTGATCAAGGGGATGCAAATAAGCATGACTGACAGGGCTAAAGCTTACTAGTACAACATTGGTCTATTTAATGTACAGCTTAAGCAGTGAAAAAATATCAGAGAGTAAATGCAGCTGTGCTGTTTCCCCTTTGGTCTACATTTAATAACTAGCTTGCTATTTCTAGTCATAGTCTCAAAACATGGGCAAGGGAATCTTTTTCAAGACCTCCAACAAGCAACAATGATTGCCAATTAAAATAGAAGAGGAAAGTTGGAATTCTGTTAAATCGTTTGCTGTTCAGTTAAAATATGTGTCTATTAATTTCTCACCATACAATATGCAGTTTTGGAAAAGAGAGATTTTTTTTTCCATTTTGGAGCATCTTCCTTAAGAATGCATCACCATTTCTCATTTTGTAATTCTAGTTGCCATATTTCCATATAGAACCAGTATATATTTCCCACATAGATCACTAAAACATTTAAAATACACACTAAGGGTACATCTACACTGAAGAATTAATGCAGATTGACATCACTTTAATTGCCATGACCCAGTTCTATGGCATTCTGAGATTTGTAATACAGTAAGGCACCAGCACTATGGCAGAGAAGTCTAAAAACCTTGTAAAACTACAACTTGCATGACCCCATAGCATTAAACAATGAGACTTAATTGTGTTAAACTGTATTAATTCTACAGCGTAGATGTACCCTTGTGTTTCACAACAGGAAATCTAATTCTACTTTTAGATGTTGAGGTTGAGTCAGCTATTTCCTTGCTTTTCAAATAACCTAAAATTACCTTTAAATGTATGGGGAAGGCCAGGAAAAATGTAATTAACAGTTTCTGCTATACTTCATTAATTTTTCAGTGTAGTCTCCTATAACAGATACAGATACACTGCCAACTTTCAATAAGAAGGGTATAACCTTCAAATAGTATGATGCTAAAATGTATTTTCATATGGCTGATACTACTAATTACATGAAGTTTGAACTACCTGGTACTTATTCTACAATGATTGCAGAACTAATGCACAAGATTTTATATATGTAGTCTTGGACACATATAAATATACACACATGCATGCTTGCAGGTGCTGTTATCTTGCATTAAGTTGATTCACAATACATCGCAATTTTCACCTAGAGTTGCTCTGCTGATCTGCTGGAGCAACTGTGTTGTCTTTTCCTGAGAGTTTAACACCCAAATCATTACAAATTTGGATTAGTATTTGATCTTGTATTAGCTATTAGGGTGCCACCTTTAGTGTGTATTAGTATGTTGTGCAAATAGTGCATACTAGGCACGTGCATTCAGTCCAAAGGGGTCCGTTTTTGTTTGACTCTTCATTTTGTTTACCAGAATGTTACCCACAAGGAGAAGTTTTTCCATTTCATTTGGCAGATTTTGCCATGTTAAGGCCTATCTGCATGAAACCTACCTCAGTTGTAGACACCATTTTCAACTGCAGGCCTGCCAAGTTTCAAAACAATTCACCAAGCTACTGATTTTTTAGAATTAATTTTAGTTTTAACCATAACATTTAGGAATTGTAATTGCTAGTTGTGTCCATTCTCACCCAATCAGAGCATGGACACCACCAGGCTTTTAATTGGCTGAGAGACACAGAGAGAGAAAAACTTCACCACCCATCATGCTCCAAGAGGTCCTTTCAGTGGTCACCCTATGCTAGTGATACTGGGAAAGCGAGTTCCTAGGGCCCTCTCTGGAGGAGGAGGTAACTTTCCAAGAAAAAAGGAGGAGGCCTCTTCTGCTAGGGAGAGAAAAAGACTTCACAGATTCCCCTGCTTCAAATATTTTGTGGACTTCACTGATGTTTTGTCTCTCTCTTCCTCTGTTTTCAGAAATTAAACTAAAATGGCCCTCCAAAAACTACATTTTTTCGTTAACAGTCTAGTGCATACATACTTATACACAGATAGATACATACAAATAGAAAGACACACAGTACATACATACATATGGTCTGTATGCTACAATTTTTTTTATTATGTGTAAATGTAGAATGCAGTGCTAAGTGCAGAAATAAGCTTGCTGAAAATGTCTTTCTTTTTTAGGGAATGTCTTACAGTACTACGGAAAATCCTAAATAGCAGGTCATGCATGAAGGGCTTTCAAGAATAAGGACAGATTTACTAACTGGTTGAAGGCAGGTGGTGAAGGAGCCCAAAGGATGTTTACTCAGAAGATGTTTCCACATTCACAGGGCTCTCATTAGCATGAATGGAAATATAAGCTTGCATATTCATGAGCATTGCGTGAACATTGCAATGCATACAGGAAGCCTGATTAGTGTCTTTTTCTGTTTATGAATGAGTTTAGGTTTGATGAGAAAAGGTGAGCATTACATGCCATTTTTCTTTTTAAAGTCTGCAATTGTTCTTTTTGTTTGTTTGTTTGTCTCTGCAGACATTCCCAATGGGGTTCGGAGATGGACAGCTGTATCCCTGGACAGATGGCTTGAGAAGAAAGGACTGGCATGATTATGAAAGTATTCAGAAAGATGCCATGCGTTCAGGTGGGCTGCTTAGAGTAAATCAGAATTTTTCTTTGTCCTTTGCACCCTGGATATTTTGATATTAGACCTAGCTAAACAATACCAGTTGCAAGCTCTTTGAAAGAAATCCCATGTCTCATACTATGCTGGTACTTAAAAATAGATTCAAATTAGAGAATTAAGATCAGGACTTGACGCTGCCTGAACTACTGCCACATCTCTCAGAGGAAAATAATCCTATTCCAATTTCATTTTTAATAGTTGAGGTTTTGTCACTTATATCCTGTGGTTTCTCTTGTATCCCACTTCCAATATCTTAGTATACTGCATGCAGTCTCTGCTCCGGCTTTGTCCACAAAGATTTGTGAAACTACTTTGAAAGAGGGAATGACTGACCCAGAGGGATGGAAAGAATATATTGCCATATACAAAATGGTCAAAAAATCTTGAGTATTAGGAAACACAGATTAATAAAATTTTGGGTTCACAGTGCAACACTTATTCTGTTCAGAAAGCATTTTGTTGGAGACTTTTCTGTGCAGAAAATGTACACTTCCCAAGTCATGTTGTACTCTGGACAAAAAAAAAGTTGTTTAACCATTTCAAATACGCCCCATAGTAAAAAATTATTTTTTCAGTTGGGAGAAAATTGCTACCATCACTCAACGCTTCCTTCAAGAAGGAGATTAGCAAAGAATTGCATTAGTATTGCTCCAAGGTACTGGTGAAGTACCTTGAATTCTTTAGTTTATTCCTCTGAACATTAACTCTAAAGCTACCTAGCAAAGAATTCTAAACTCCAAGGTAGAGCCAAGACCAATAAAGTTATATTGAACTGATATCTATATAATTCAGATATACCATTATGTTCAAATTCCTACCCAACCATAATATTCAATGGCTACCTTGATTCAGTCGCCATCTTTCATACTTTGGCACACCTGCACTGCAAGATAAATACAATTTGACCATATTTTATTGCAATCATTTAATGTTATGAAATCCTAGGAATTATCAGTTTTGAGGTACCAGCACTCTTTGGCAGAAAAGTGTTAAGATATTGTAAAACTTGCAATTCTCATGATTCAATAGCATTGAATGATGACAGTTAAAGTGGTATTAAACTGCATTACTTCTATAGTGCAGATGACCTCAAGATTATCTCATGAGGTTCATGTGAGGACAATAGGGCACCATCCTGAGATATCTGTAGTGAGATAAAAGTGAATTAAGAATAAAAGAAGACAGTACAAAAAGGTGGGAGGTACTTTCTAATTCCCCCTCCCCCATTACACACACACACACACACACACACACACACACACACTCTTATGCTGCTGTAATAAAACTTCAACTATCAAATAGTACTGCTTTACTTTTTTCCTAGAAATGTGGCGGTTTGCTGCAGATCTCAGGATTGTATAGTATGGAGTAATGGCAAGGAAAATGTTGTTTGGGCAAGGGCAACCCCCCCCCCCAACACACACACACACACACTGACCAGAAGAAAGAGTCCCACACATGAAGTTGGGATAACCAAAGGCCACAACTTCTTTATTGGTTATAACTGAAAACAGGGTTAGCAGCCATACATGAGTCTCGCTGACCAATGTGCAAAGACGATAGAGGGCACATTGCAGCTTCCTGTTTATCTGTCCTGGGACACCTGCACTATTGCACCCCCTAGTAGCCACATGGCAGCCCCCCCCACACACACACACACAAAGCTCACACCCCACATACTGGATCTAGGGCCCATGCCAACCACTCCCAAGACATGACGATTATACAAGAAAGAAACAACCACACATAACAGTGACAGCTCCAACAAATCGGAGGTGGAGAGAGTTTTGAGGTTGAAGGCAACTGAGCTGGTAATTCAGGCAGGGTAATTTTTGAATGTACTATATTTGTTTAGTATGGGGACACACCTTATGCTCTATGTCTTTCCTTAGTCAAATGTACAATTGCTAACTATTAATGGGCAACAACAAGGCCTTATTTTCTCTTCTCATAAGTATTCTCTTCTCATAAGTATTGGTGGTGCCCCCCCCCCCCAATCTGTGGAACACACTCCCCAGAGAAATTAGATCGGCTCCATCTATCCTTTCCTTTAGTAAGAAGCTCAAATCATGGTTCTAGGACCAGGCATTTGGGTAGCAGGCCAACAAGTAACCGCAATGACTCATAAGAACTGATAAGGGACAGGCTATGGACTGGAACTATGGATGCTAAACTGGACTTGGATGTGATTATATTGCTGTTAGAAATGTTTTAATTGGATATTTATAACTTACTGTTTTAATTAGTGTCAAATCTGTGTTATATTGTTTTGTTGTGTGTATTGGCATCAAATTGCTGCTGGATGTAAGCCGCTCTGAGTCCCCCCCTCAGGAGTTGAGAAGGACAGGATACAAATGTTTGAAATAAATAAATAAAATACTGGATAATCCTTGAAATAGAAAACAATTTCAAAACAGGTTGGTTCTCTGCAAAGCTGAACATATGGCTATCCTATCTGTTTCTTGGTGAAGTTTTCCAAATGGCTGGAGAGAACACAGGCTTCCCTAAAATACCTCTCAAATTGGGACCTTGTTACAGCTGCTTGCTACATAAATTAACCATAGTCTACTAGCTCAGGTTCATGTTTTGCACAGTATAACTGAATAAAACCTCAGAAAAGCATAATGAACTCCAGGCCAGAGTTGGCACTTTTCCTTTCTCAAGCTGAGTTCGGCTTCATCATAGTTGACATACGGAGAACATAAAAAATAATATGATCAGTACCAACTGCTGGTGAGACATAGAAAAGAAGCTGCCAGCTAATTGCTCTGACACCTTTCCTGCTGTTTGAAGTGTGAAGGGCAAATAGCACTAAATAGAATGTGTAAATTTTAGTAACACTAGTGGAAAGTGAAGCCTTTTTCAGAATTGCATTAACCTAAACAATGACAGTACATTTCCATTTTCTCTTAAGAGTCAAGCAGGGTCAATGTGATCTAGAGGAGAGAAGGTGCTTTTAAACTATAGAATTAATGCAGTTTGACACCACTTAAACTGCTACGGCTCCAATGCTAAGGAATTCTGGGCTTTATAGTTTGATGAGACACCAGCAGTCTTTAGCAAAGAAAGCTAAAGACCCTGTAAAATTATAACTTTCATAATTCCATAGAATGGAGCCATGGCAGGTAAAGTGGTGTCAAATTGCATTAATTATACAGCATAATGCACCCAGAGTGACAGATAAGGTTGGAGACAACTCAGGTTTAATTCCCTACTTGTCCCTAAATCTCATTGAAATGCAGTGAGATGAGGAGGGTGGTAGTTATTTTTTTTTTACTTTGGAACACTAAACAGTGTTATTGATCTAGACTGTAATTCCAATATTTAAACAGGGTTTTTTGGCAGCCAGTCAACTATGTGCCATTGATTGTTTTCAGTTGTATCAAGTTTTGGTATATATTAGCAAAGATTAGTATTGGGAAAATATTTAAACACTCACAAAATATCATAGAATACTTCCACGATATCAGAAATTGTACCTTAGTAATAAGAAATGTTCCAGATTTCAAAATCAGTATTACTTTATACCGGGGTTGTGGAATTCATTTTCACCAAGGACCACATCAGCCACATCAACTGAGGCCACATCAGCCTTCAAAGACTTGTTTGTAATTGTAAGATTGTATAAACATAACAATATTCCCCTGTCATTGAGAGCCCCATGTGCCACATAAACCCCCTTCTGCCTTGTAGGAAAGGCTCAATCAATGTTATGGTGGGCCAAAGCCACCTCACAGGCCTTGCCTTTGACATGTGTGCATTAGACCTTTCTTGCTATCAGAGACCTAAGTTGAAAAGTCTAAAGAAGGGATCTCAAACTTTTTCAGTGGCAAGATCCTGAAAAACGTTTCTTGTGGAGCCCCAAGAAATGTTTAACATTTCTTTATATATATATTGTATACAGTATATATTGTATATATATTAGATATGGGCAAGCTTTTGGATGCATTGTGTTTTAAAATTTGACACATATGGGCCGGGCCAGTGGCAGATGGATGGAGAATGTTTGTGTGAACTAATTGAAAAAATGAACAAATTCCTTTGCACAGTGCAAGAATCTTGTTTGTAGTGAAAAAAAGGGATGGGGAGAGAAAGAAAAATACAATATTTAAAATCAAAGCATGCCAAACAGATTTCCATTCAGCCTTTGTAATAATAATAATAATAATAATAATAATAATAATAGGAACAATCCCAGAGGCCATCCAGTCAAACCCCCTTCTGCCATGCAGGAAAAGCACAATCAAAGCACCCCAACAGACGGTCATCCAGCCTTTGTAGTAATAATAGTAGTCATAATCATAATCATAATCATAATAATATCAACAACCCCAGGGACAATTCAGTCTAATCCCCTTTTGCCATGCAGGAAAAGCACAACCAAATCTCCCCCTGAGTGATTTATTTATTTATTTACTATATTTGTATACCACCCTTCTCAGCCCTTAGGTGACTCAGGGTGGTTTACAATGGCAATGATTCGATGCCCCAAAACACCATAAAACATTTAAAAACATTAACATATAATATAAAACCATAACAAGAATAGAGGAATGGGGTTTTGGAATCAAAGAAAGCAAGGGAAAAAGGCTTTTGGTGCCAATGGAAGGAGGGGGAAGAGTAGGAAAAAGAAGGTTAAGCTTGGAGGGGAGGAGTAGGGAATTTCAGTGTCCTCAGTATGCTCTGCAGTGCCCCTAGGGCTCCACGTAGCACTCTTTGAGAACCACTGGTCTAAAGGATAATTCAGATATAAATGCTAAATTTCTTATCTAGGTCTGATAAACCATTCAACTGACAGATATATAGCTTTGTAAATCTCATTACAGTGAGAATGCTGGTGTGCGTCCTTCTTTGTGGTAGTATCATGTTTTAGCTAAGGTGCCATTGCCATTATCTCTGAGAGATCCTTCATCACTTGTAGCCCTTCACTACTGCTGCTGTCTAGTAGCTGCTTGGCA